CTCTTTTAACTTACCTTCAGATGTTTAGTCATGTTTATTTTGTGCTGAAACAGGTATTAATGTGGAGGAGATGATCAGTTCACGTGTCTCTCGTGCTGCCACTTTTATTGAACTGAGGCGCGCCGCGCTACAGCGATCACTCCACATTAAACAGTGCCAAAACTAGGGATGCAACAATATAATTTTTTCAGATCCGATAAGAAAATTCTGAGTATCGGACAATTCCGATCCGATCCCAGCACAGATTTTTTTTTATTAAATAAATATCTGTGTGTTGACCTGATCGTCACTTTGTGTTAAACACAATCTACTAAATATAGACAACTTCATTTTAATGAAAAATAACAAATGAAAAAATACATAATCTATGACAAAAATACTATTATAAACTAGGTTAGTGGATAATTTAGCCACATTACACATACATTTCTTTTCAATATATAGCACAGTAATGAAGGCAGCAACATATGATAGAGGAGTCCTATCTATCATATGTTGCAGCCTCCATTACTGTGCTATAGATTAAATTATTATTAGCCTTATAGGACAAAACAAGAAACGCTATAAATCTTTCATTGCGCATAAGTATTATATAATACGAAAAGCTCCAATAGAGCTGCACAAAGCGCTTATGCTCATACCGTGCGCAGAATGATGCGCTTGAAGAAACATGGAGTCACAGCACGCAGTTCCGCATAGAAGTTCAAAGCACAAAGAGATATTGATGCGTAGTTTATTAAATCTGTGCGATAGTATATTGAGCCTTTTCTTTTAACAGTTTTAAATCTGTTATTGTGCTGTTATCTGTCTTGGAAAGAGTTTCATCGTCTTAAGACCCTAATTTACTGTCGTAACCAACAGAAAATGTCAGTATCTGAGCCGATACCGATCCTGAGTATCGGATCGATGCATCCCTAGCCAGAACGGCATTTATTGTTTGAATACTGCAATACAATGGACAGAATTTAAAATCTGAGACTTTGTTTCATATTAAAAGTACCAACGCACAATGCTTATTGTGATTTATTGGATGGGAAGTCTCCTTCAATGTTCTGTCCATTGAAGCAGCATTATGTAACTTTTTCTGTGTTCAAAATTTGCAAAATGTATATAATGAGCGAGTACATCATGAATTCATCTTCCAAACTGCGTTTTTGTCTTATTATAATTATTATACTTATATTTGGACTATTTTAGCCTGGTCGGGACATCGCCATAGACAAACTTAGAGAAGTAGTTCCGGTTGGAATGTTCTTCCACGGGATGTGTGCAGTTCTGTTTATTAACCGCTAGAGCGCCAAAAGTTACATAGTGCTGCTTTAACTGAAAACAGGCTAGATTCATTGATTTGGATTTAAGAATCTATCGTTTCGTAAAACTGAGATTCGATTATAATCAAGACAGATATTTTTTTATCCAGCCCTACTGAAAACTACTTGGATTTTTTTTTTTTTTTTTAAGCGCATATAAATCATCTTTCTTACCTGGTTTGAACTGAATTCTCACACCAGTGTCATTCTGAATCTTCTTGATCATTTCACCACTCCTACCAATCACAATTCCCACTGCAAACCTTGGCACAGGGACCTAAAGCAACAGCAAAACATTTAGTAAACTGACTTTCAAAATTCAATCTAAATGTATAACATCACAAAGAATCTAAAGATTATTCTCATAAAACAGTACTTACATCCAGACTGTCTCCACTGCTTACTCTAGAACCATACTCTCCTCTCTGTTCCCGGAAACCCTGATCTCTGATTAGATCCATCACCATGTCTTTAGCTTGCTGTACAGACCAAGAATTTTTTTTATATTTAGATATACAGCCCATAATTTGGAATAACTTCAATGTAGAATTGCAAAGGCTTAAATGTACCAACCTGAACTTTAAAAGGATCGCCAGAGATCCTGAGTGGTTTATCAGAGCCTGTGTTTTGGGGTCCTTCTTGAATCATGACCATTTTGACTCCAGCACGTTCCTATTAAACAAGTGTTGAACAATTAAATTAATAAGTAAATGTCTAAGGAAAAAAAAAAAGGGGGAAAAAAAACGACTTCATGGTAAAAAGTGAAAGAAAAAGTAGAAACTTTAAACCAAATAACTCTGAAAATTTTGGGTTTAACCACATTTATGCACCTTACCTGTAACTGTTTGATTGTTTCTCCTCCCTTTCCGATGACCAGACCAGCTTTGGAGGCAGGGATCATGACCTCCTGAACAGAATTCCCTTGTCCATCATTGTGGTGGAATGCCGGAGAAGGTCTGCCTTTATCTACAATCTCTGAGAGCAACATCTTTGCAGCCCTATGATGGAAAATGTACATTTTTAATTTCACCCACTTCTAAAAAATACCCCACCATACTCAATTCAACCATGAAAAATTTCTGAATGTGTAGAGATACTCACTGGATTGAATCAGGTGCGCCTGTTAATGTCACTGACCTATCAGGCATGCCACCACTGTCTGTTGGGTAGAGTGCAGAATAAGATTCCCATTTTTTTTTCCTCCAAAGAGCTGACAACAATCAGACTTATGAGACACACAGCCAGGACACGGCAATTTGACTCACCGGGAGAAATCTGTATTTTGCACCCTGAATCCTGCTGTATTCTTGAAATCTGTTCTCCTCCCCTTCCAATAACTGAAAACAAGGGTTTAATTAAAATGCCATTTTTTTTAATGAGATTTAAATGCAAGTTCTCCAAAGCACGTAGTAATGGATATTTGTTTTTCCGAATTCGTAATGGTGCTTTTCCACTGCATGGAACAGCCCGGTACGGCTCGCTTTGGCGCTTTTCCACTGCACGGCTCACTTTCTGGCATTTTTCCACTGCATGGTACCGCTAGGAACGGCTCGCTTAAATAGTACCACCTCAGTTGAGTTTCCAAGCAAGCCGTATCGATACTAAAATGTGACGTGCAAACACTGCAGATCACCGATTGGACAGAGAGAATTCATCACTACCAGCGCCAATGGATTTGCAACACGAGACACCAATCACGGCAGTAGAGGCGGCGCAACTAGTCTATAATCCCAACCACTTTGAAGCGGTATTAACTGCAGTGAAAAAGCAAGTGTGTAAGCGAAGTGAGCCGATCAGAGCCATGCCGAGTCGTACCACGCAGTGGAAAAGCGCCACAAGTCAACTTACTGAAGCCAACCATGCCATCTGGAACCTTGAACTCTTCTGATATAGACCTGCACAGAGATATGATAACAACATTAGAAGAAAAAGGCAGAGCTGAAATATACCATTATATTTAAAAAAAAAATTAAAAATGATCAAATTAACTATTAAATAATAAAATAGTTACCTTGGCGGGCCACCCATGCCTCCCATTACAGATGAAAAAGCTGACGCAAATGAAAGCACAACTTATAAGATGAGCAACAGACACATCTTTAAAATGGTTAAATAACACATTTAATAGCCTATTAGTTTCTCCTAGAAGACAATTGCAATGCTTACGATCACTTGGTGGAACCTTCTTGGTTTCTGGTTGATCTGAGAAGAGAGAGACCAAAACGGTTTAGACCAAACCATTAATACCTAAACCAATTAGTAGTATCACTAACCACAGAAGTACTACATAACAGACTAAAACTTTTAACCATCTGGTAGCCTCTGGTCTTTTTAGGCAAAACACAAAGTCACCTAAATCTTTATATAGAAATAAATGTTGCATATTGTGAGGCAGTGAATATCGTTTAGTACCATGAAATCCACTCAAAATATTACTGAAATATTACTTAACTAAAATATAGCACATTCATTATATATATATAAAAAAAAAAAAGTTCGACTTATTGCTTTAGGCCAGTTGTGTCTGCCAGGATCACAAGTTAAGAACACCAGAGGATTAATTAAGTATATAACACTGTGGTTTATGTTGACCATTATGCACAACAAAGCACCTATGAGCTTACCTCCATCTTCAAGAGGTCTCTTCTGTCCTCCATAACCAAACTCATTGGAAACTGGAGAGGGAGGTACGCCATCACCTCCTATTTTTGCAGCTATCTAAAGTAATATAGTGAAACGCAAAGTTAAAACGTTTTTCAATCACTTTGTATGAGTATAACACTGTTAACAGTGTGCGGCCTGCACTACTGTTGTCCTGAACAAACTAGGTCGACTCAGCAGCACCAAAAACGTAGGAAGTTGTAACATGTCTCATTCATATAATTGGATGAAAAGAAACATTACCAAAAACATACATATATTAAAGTCATCCTACAATTAGTGACCTAATTCCAGCTATAAGTGACTGTTTGTGTATACGCAAGTTACGGTTTACGTAATTGTCTAACAATTCGTAACGTTTGTTTCAACCACTAACTAAATTTGCTCTTTAGCTTATTGGGGCGTGTGAGAAATATACGCATTATTTACCAAAAGCATTCAGCTTCGTTTAAGCTTTAAAAAACAAACCAAAAAAAGAGAATAAAAATGCACACAACTGAACCCTCTTTGTTGCAGCGCATCAAGGCCTCAAATTAGCACGTTAGCTAACGTACCGAGCTGGCTACGTTTTATATCAATTTTTAAATGTAAAATTTGAAGACACGAAATATTTCTGGACGCTTTCAAAGCACTCACTTGTCTGGCTCTCTGAAGGGCGTCTTTAAAAGCATCGTTCATCCCTCCACCAGCGTTTGAGGACGGCGGAGCCACGTTAGAGTAGTCGGCCATGTCTGCGGGAACAGTCTTCTCGAGCTGAAGGAAGATGGCCGTGCGCGCGAGAGTGATGAAGAGAACTGACTGCAGCCGCTTCGATCCTGATTCCACTTCCGGCCGGCACACTACCGCGGAAATAGGATAAAAGTCTTTCCTGTGGTTGTTTCTGCCCAACCATAATAGGAATTATTTTCATTCTATCTATACATGGATTATTATATTGAATTAATATCGTATCTAAGAAACGTTACGATCTGTGTGTCATGTACTTTATTCATATTGCAGACGTTAGCATTTTTGCGAATTAGAAAAAAAGCATAAAGAGAACTGCTTATGGGAATATCATTAAATGTAAATATCATATGAGATGAAATTATATCAGTCTTCTAGAAAAATATTGTTTTAAAATACATGTAGGGCCGATGTTGAAATCACATGACCACCCATTAGGCCATTACGCAGTTACTAGTAGTCCTATTACTACTAGGCTAATTCTGATAATAATAATAATAATACTACTATGTTTACTTTGTATAGCGCTTCCAGCCAGTGCTCAAAGCGCTTTACAAATCACAAATCTGATATAGCCTACTTCTTAAGCAAACCATAAAATGTGACAACATACTACCGACACAAAATAACATCTCAGGTCAACATGTTGCAGCGATGATTCTTAGTGGAAATATGAAATGAACAAGCAAGAACTCACTGCTGCAGCAAATACGCCTAAACTTGACAGTCACAGCACTTGCTTCGCCTCTTTATATGACAAAAATACAAATTTCCTGCCTTTTAAAATTTAATTTTCCTATTATTTTCTCAGTATTTATAAATAAAAAGCAGAATCTAATAACCAGATGCTATATTGTCCACTGACATATTAGTTTCAGAACACTGTTGAAGAAACACACACCCACTTATAGAAATGAGCACATACACTACATAAAAAAATAGTGAATTGACTTTTACGGTGAGGTCCAAACTGCAGAAATGCCTTTAAAAAAAGATAAAGTTGATATCCAGCAGTTGCAAACAAGGAAAAACGCCTGCAATTGTTTATGGCATATTATATTTATTTACTTACATTATAAAAATTACCAGAATGATAATTAGCCCACAGAACATTTCCAGGCTGTTGAAACCAGAAGATACTAAACATGAAAGTGGGTCAGACCCCTGCTCAACCAACCAGCAACCACAAACATCATTCTGGTGTTCTTAAGACAGGTACTCAACAAGTCAAAGAGAACAAAATCGTCACTTCCTGATAAACTGGCACAATAAATCACTAAGAAAAGTAGGAGAATATGATCATTTTCATATAGAATAAATTACGAATCACAATGCGGTCATTGCTTTCGGAGGTGGATGCTGCTGTTTGGGAACGCAGTCGTGCAAGACATTTCTGGGAGGCAATTATAGCCTACAGAAATACTTTGATGACAGACTTTGCACATGCATTTCCGAATGACCATAACAACATTTCAGATGCTGTGGAATGACATCGGTCCGCTGGTTAGTCAGGTTTTGCGGTCCCATAGTGCAAAGTCACATGATTTTTTTGATGCGCTTGGAGGAATTTATTCGCAAAATGCATTTCCATCTCCCATTATTCGCACAAAAAAGTCAAAAACCACCTCAAGCGAGCGTAAAAACTTTTTTGCGAATTAAGGGATTTTTATTCGAAATTTGGCGTTTCCATCACTCGTTTCTCATGCGATAGGCTAGGCCTACTTCAAAATGCGCATCCGTCCCTCGGGTCATTTTGACCCCAACCCCATTTTTAAAGATTTTTTTAAAAAGCGAGTGTTGATCGTTATGTTATGAGACTTTACTATTGTCACAATTGAGCCGGGAATACATGAACATTTTTTTTGAGGGAATTCGAGCAGTTTAAGTGGGTGCTATAAAAAAAGTATCAAAAGTGTCCCTCGTGGGTCATTTTGACCTGCCACTGGAAAAGCATGGAATTTATGAAAAAAACTGCAGATTTGTTTATTTAATTTTGTCACACTTGAGCATGGAGCCCACACAAACAAATTTGAGTCGATTCGAGGATTATATGTGTAATAAAATAAGGTGTAATAAAAAAAAGTAACAAAAGTGTCCCTCACGGGTCATTTTGACCCGGCCCTAGGAATGAATGCAATGTCCGGAAAAAAATAAACATTTTTTTATTTATTAGATTTTTTTTACTATATAAAATCTGACACAATCCAGAAAAGATGCATACCCAAACAAATGGCTGAGAGTGCAGAATGTCCCCAATGCACAAAAAACTCACACACCCACACACAGGCACACACACACACACACACACACACACACATGGCACACACACTCCCATTGAAACACATTATAGCATTTATGATGTTTCTGCTGGGAAATGACTGTCATTTTGATTTTTTTTTGACTTAACACAGTTAAATTTGAGTGATGGGGTGGAGACCAATGAGTTTATATCCTATTTATATTTTTGGGACACTTTTGTTATAGGTTCGGGAGGGACGGATGAGTTAATAACTGAATGTGTGTGTCATTTTACTGAAATATTTACAACTGTTTTCCTTGTTTCTCTTCTGTTTATTATAGACCACATGTGTGAAGTGACATATACAAACCTACTCTGGTTAAAAAAAGGATTCCCTTTTGTGTTTCTCTTTCTGGAAACACACACCCCCATCTTTGATGCACTACACCTGAAACCACTGAGTGTTCCATACACTCGTATATGGTCCTTCGAGCTGGATCTGCCTCAAGATGGATCGTGAAACTCCCAGTGCAGCTGAGCCCGTCGTACGACCTCGCCCTCCAAGAGAGAGACACCTTCCTGCCCATCTGGCCGACTATGATGTCCAGCTCCCACCTAACCTACATCCTGAGCCAACTCCTGCCGATTCGTCTTCACATAGATCATCCAGACCATCAAGACATGTTTCTAGATCCATGTCTTCTGGTATGGTTTCCAATACTTCATCCAGATCACATCACAGTGCACAATGAAGATCTCTGAGACATGGACTCTCCGATCTTCAAGCTGCCATGTTGGAGGAAAGGCTAAAGACTCTGGACTTGGAAGAACTTCAACAGCAGATCGAAGAAGGACGCCATTTTAGATAAGGAGTGTGAGAGACTTGATGCTCAGGCTAGAGAAGCGCAGTATAGACAGGAACAAGCTACTAAGGCTAGAGAGTTGCTAGATAAGCAGGTCGGCGGTGTCTCAAAAAGGTTCAAAATGAGCTTGAGGTTGCTAAATATGTTTGTGTTGTGTTCACAGTCAGGCCTAGCTGTTGATCCTCTGTCTGAGGTAAGCACTCAAAAACACAGAGTTGCTGCTACCGATGATCTTAAGTCATCTGACCACGTGAAGCCTAGTCATTTTACCCCTTCCCATGTTAACTTAATACCTGTGTCATCAGTAATGCCTTCCCCTGTATTACCTGCTGTACACACTACTGCATCATTAGCTGAACCCCCATTCAGTTCTGTCACCTCAGCTACCGAGGTAGTCCAGCCCAACATAGTTACAAGGTCATAGGCTCTGCTAATTACTGCACAGCCCACCTTAATGTCTAGGCCAGATTATGCTGCCTACCAAGCCACGAATTCTAGCCCTCATTGGACAGCAGTATCGTATCCTGTTCCCCTACCTGACGGTTATTAGTCAGGCAGTATAGTACCCCTCCCCAGCCCAACAACCTGGTCTGGAAATGTTAGCTGCCTCAGCTTATGGTTTCTCAAAGCCGGCTATCCCATATTTCAACACTGGCCGGGAAAGTGACTTTGCACTACTGAAGATGGCCTTAGACAATATAATGAATAACCAGCCTCATTTGAGTGACCATTACAAACATCAGGTCATTTTAAGTCACTTAAAACTCCCCAGCGCTCTCCAGTTAGCCAAAAAATACATGCATGACCCCAGGCCATACACAACCGCATTACAAGTGCTGCAGGATAAATATGGCCAGTCATGTCAGCTGGTCCAGTCCGAATCAGATGCCATACTGAATGCACCAGCAGTCAAGTTCGGTGATGCAGAAGCTTTTGCTTATTTTCCCTATCTATCCAAACATTAGTAGGGATGCTCAGAAATTTGGAAGGCCCAAACGGATATGAGCTGTGCTGTGGCTGTCACTTTGATCGACTGTTAAGCAAGATGCAACAATCATATCACAATGGGTTCGACGAGTACTGTTTCAGCCAAGGTATTCTGCAAACTGGCACAGACCGCACTTATACATGACCTGATCTGTCTGTATGGCTGCAGATGAAGTCACAGTCAAAACGCATCTTCAATAAAGCAGCTACACTGTATCAAAATAATACTGTCATGTCTTCGGTTTGATCACCCTGTCCTTCGTTTGTTGTGTTTTGTATCTGTCTGCATGTTGTGAGCACATGGTGTTTTTGTTTTGATTGTTGCCATGTGCTTCACTGTGGCGTTCTTCCCTCCCTCTCATTACCTTCTTTCACTGTTATAATTGGTTGATTTCGTTCACCTGAATTTAATATTTGATCCATCTCTCACTCTATTTATTCCCCTCTTGTGTGTCATCCTGTGCCAGATCGTTGTTTGCAAGTTCACAAACGCTCAGCCGCCCTGTCTTGTCTTGTCCGGTTTGTCGTGCCATTGTCGGCTCCCTGTTAGGTTTTTGTTGTTTCTTCCCAGTTATTTTGTTTCCCATCTACTCTTCCTCATTTCCATCAGCATTCCCTCAGAGTTCTCGCACTCCGGTCAGATGTCTCACTTATCCCTCTTCCCCCCGCTCTCCGATTCCCCACGCGACCGCGCTGTTGAGTGCCCTCTGCCGGGTGTTTTTTGCAAAGACATTTTTCTGTTTGCTTATTGTTTCTGTTGGACAATATTTTGCCTAATTACCCTGGCTGTATTTTTGTTCTTTTTGAGGAATTACCCTTTTATTTGGACTTATTATAAATAAGCAGTTTTTCTGCTGAAGCTTGCATCTGTGTCGGAGTTGTGTTCCTGACAGAACGATCTGGCCAAGATGGACACAGCAGGCTCAGATCCTGTCAGAACTGCGGTCACCCATCAGGGAGCTCTTTTGGGCCAGCACGAAACCAGATTGACGAACACCATAA